GCCGTGCATGCGTTTTCCAAAAAAAAAAAAAAAAAGAAGTGATGGATGGAATGAAAAAAGAAGACCATGCATCGTTGCGAAGATAAAAAAGAACATCACCCATTAAGAAATTTTGTTGGGCTACCAATGCACACCTACTACGCATGCCACCTCTGAACAGTGGCATGCCAAAATCCAGCCAAAAAAAAAAAAAAGTTGCCAATAAGACTTCCACATGGCGTCCTGCCCCGAACACAGTCATCAACGACCAGAAAACAACACTTGTACGACGATCGCTCCCACGGTACTCAAACAAACCCCGCACGCTCATGGCGTCCTGCCCCGAACACAGTCATAAACGATGCCACAAACCCTTTCTCCCCCGTGAGCCCTCCCGCGTCTCGCCCCCCGAAGCAACCCCCCCTAAAACACCCCTTCCCCCCATCCTCTTGTACCTGCCATCTCAACAGGGCCTGCGCATCATCCCCTCCTCGCCTTCGCCATCACCGTCGTCTACGCGTCACCCCCCCTTGCCTTTGTCATCGCCTTCGGCATCGTCGTCGTCGTCCCCGGGGGGACCTGTCCCCAACTGATCCAACTGTTTCGCCTCCATCGGGGAGGCCAACGTGGCGTCGTGCGAGAAAGTGACCCCGCACTTAGACGCCCAATCGGAGATGTACGCAGGTGGGGGGGCGAAGGTCGGAGGCGGTCTCCCCAACTTGTCCGTCATGACCTGTGCGGATTGCGTGATGTGTCGGCGGGCGTCGAACTGCCGGTTCATGGACGCCAGCAGCGTCGTCTTTGCCGTTTGTTGAACGAAAACCCAAGCGTCGTAATGCGATCTCGAATCGTCGCCCGCCATTTGCATAATCCACATCGTGGCGGTGAGCAAATACCTCATCGCCTCTGCCATCCCCTTCAGACACTCGTACGACACTCGACCGCCGTCCATAGCTTCTGCCGTGCCAACTGCGCTTATGAAATCCCGCACCAGACGCTCGACACAAGCTTCCTGGTAAGCCGCGCACTCATCGTCCTCGTGCCTGTCCACTATGTTCACGCCCACGAACCACAAAGGCAACTTCATGTCTACGTCCAATGTGGTGTGGAACAACATTGGGCTCACTAAACTGCGCCAGTCCTCTGCTAACCACATTGCTCTAGCGATGTCCGTGGCAGCGTGATTCAACGCATATTGGTATGCCAAGTGATACCCCCTTTGCCTGCTCTCCGACTTGAAGACCCAACCGTGGATCGCCCTGAGGGAGATTGTCTGCACTTTCAACGCCCTCTCTTTCGCAGCGTTCAGCTCCGACTCGTCCTCGATTTTGTGTTGGGGGATGGAGTTGTGTGGAAGGGAGATGCTCCGTCGAATAGCCGGAGGCTGCACTCCCCGCGCCACGGCCACGAGATACGCGCGCGCTTCTTGGATTATCCTCACTATGGCGCTCCCCTGCGTGTTGTTCCAGAATCTGTTGTCATCCTCCCAAAGTTTGGCGGCGGCATCCATCGCATGTGTCGCCGCTCGTTGCCCGCGCAGCCTGTGCACCAGAGCCTCGCCGTCTTCCCCGGGTGCCGCGCCATCTCCTCCCTTCGGGACTTCAACCGCCTCTCCCGGGATCGCCACAGCGCCACCGCGTGCCGCCACCGCGGGAGATCGCAACGTCCCACCTTCAACCGCTGCTTGGGAACTCCCCGCCACGTCTGCAGCCGGGGTTCGGGGGCGATTCAAAGGCGCAAGCATGCATTGTGCAGTCTCATGCGAGGCGGCCCCTTCCTTCGCGCGGCCACCGACGTCCCTCCTTGCCATGTCTCGCGCCACGTCGCGTGCCACGTCGACAAAGACTGGTTGGTTGGCCGCTGCAACGCCACCGCCGCGCCGCGCGGTCGGTGTCCCTTCCCCCCCCTCGTTTATTCTAACCCCCTCCGCGGAGCTGACCCTCGCCTTCCTCTGCAGTGGTTCACCGTCGTCGTCTTCAAAGTCGTCGTCGTCGTTCGTCATCTCTTCCTCCACCACAGCCTCCTCCACAACATCTCGCGCACTGCCAGCGGGCACGGCTTGACGACCTTCCTCTGCCTCTTCGCTTGATGCCGTCCCTTCTTCGCGGGGGCTGCGCCTTCCACGATCTGCTTAAAGGCAGCCTTCCCCTGTCCAGCTCCGCGGGAAGACATGGCGGGTCCGAAAAAAGCGCCTTCGATCGAGGTCAGGGCACGAGAATGGAACAGACGGCTATGATTACACGGATGGATTACAAGGTGGCGAATGACGGACAGGGTGACGACGAATGACTGCAGGGCGACGTCGACGAATGGCGGCACGACGAACGGCGGCAAGGGCGGCGACGACGAGCGACGGCAGGTGACGACAAGGCGACGACGACGAAAGACGGCAAGACGATTGGCGGACGACAGAGATGGCAGACGGCGCGCATCGCAGATGGGTACGTGGTCGACGACGACAGTGCCCGTTAACCAAGTTGTGCGGCAGGAGCAGGTGACGGCACAACAGCGCGCGAAAGGCAGAGAAGAGCGCGGCGAGAAAGCAGTCCTCTGCAGTGTTCGCAATCCATGCGCGCGCTCGAAATGCGTTTGGGGATGAGTGGCCCGTGCTCGTGATTTATTAAGCGAGGTGGACAGTGGCTGGGAGTGATGCCACGACGACCTTTCGATGAAAGTGC